TCGCGGTCCTACCAAAGCATTTCAGTCAGGTTGAGGTCTGGACTTTGACTGGTCCACTGCAGTACCTTGATGTTTCCTTTTTAATCATTCTGTTGTAGATGTGTTGATGTACTTGGAATCATTGTCTTGTTTCTTGACCCAGTTTAAGCCAAGCTTTAGCTGTCTGACAGATGTCCTCACATTTGACTCTAGAATACAGAGGAGTTCATGGTGGACTCAATGATTGTAAGGTGCTAATGTGGCTGCAAAAAAAGCCCAAATCACGACCCCTCCACCACCGTGCTGACAGCTGGTATGAGGTGTTTGTGCTAATATGTTGTGTTTGGTTTTGTGCATTATGACCAAACATCTGCATTAACCCTTTCACGCATAGTGGTCATAACAGTGGACAGCTATTCTGTTATAGACAGTGTTGATGTTAATGTATGTTTGGGGGCGTTGCACCCCGGAACCTTTAGAGGTTTTTCAGGGTTTTCTCTGTCAGCATGTTATGTGAGAAACAGTTTCCTGTTTGTGTAGCGACTAGCTGTGGTTGTTTCTAAAAGTGGTCAGTAAACATCCTAAAAGTGGCACCTGAGTTTCCGAGCATTTTTATCCTGAAGTCATAACATATTCAAAGGCTGTTTTCTTGTATTTGTGTCAGTGTTGATGGTATACTTGCACATAAACTACTACATTGGACACTAATGTGTCACTCCATACCCTGCCACCCACTGGTCAGCCAGCGGACTGACTAAGTGAACATGTAAAAAACTATTTGAAAAGTACATGCTTAAAAAAATGAAGTTCAAAAATCTTTTTTCATGCCTAAAGATGAATAAAAATACTTAAGAAAAAAAATCCTGATTTAGGTTGTCATAATTCATGCATGACAGGGTTAAGTTTTGATCGGCTTTCACACACCAGAGTGAAACAAGGGTTAAACAGATGAATGTTTGTTTCTGTTGACATCAAAAACTTGTCTCAGTTGTAACAAAATAGTTTCATCTTTCAACATCCACGAAGGGACTGGTTTTGGACATTAGCTTTGGTTATACACTCAACAAAAATATAAACGCAACACCTTTGTTACTGCTCCCATTCCCCATGGGATGGACGTAGAGACCTAAAATTCATTCCAGATACACAATATAACCATCCCTCCCAAACAGTGGTCACAAATCAGTCCAAATGTGTGGTAGTGGGCACATCTGCTATATTGAGATAATCCATCCCACCTCACAGGTGTGCCACATCAGGATGCTGATCTGACATCATGAGTAGTGCACAGGTGTACCTCAGACTGCCCACAACAAAAGGCCACCCTGGAATGTGCAGTTTTGTCTCACAGCAAAATGCCACAGATGCCACAAGCAATGAGGGAGCGTGCAATTGGCATGCTGACAGCAGGAATGTCAACCAGATCTGTCGCCCGTGCATTGAATGTTCATTTCTCAACCATAAGCCGTCTCCACAGGCGTTTCAGAGAATATGGCAGCACATCCAACCGGCCTCACAACCGCAGACCTCGTGTAACCACACCAGCCCAGGACCTCCACATCCAGCAGGTTCACCTCCAAGATCGTCTGAAACCAGCCACCCAGACAGCTGCTGGAACAATTGGTTTGCACAACCAAACAATTTCTGCACAAACTGTCAGAAACCGTCTCAGGGACGCTCAACTGCATGCCCGTCGTCCTCATCGGGGTCTTGACCTGACTCCAGCTCGTCGCCGTAACAGACTTGTGTGGGCAAATGCTCACATTCGATGGCGTCTGGCACGTTGGAGAGGTGTGCGCTTCACGGATGAATCATGGTTCACATTGTTCAGGGCAGATGGCAGCTGAGAATGTCCCAGTTCTTGCATGGCCAGCATACTCACCGGACATGTCACCCATTGAGCATGTTCGGGATGTGCTTGACCGGCGTATACGACAGCGTGTACCAGTTCCCACGAATATCCAACAACCTCGCACAGCCATTGAAGTGGAGTGGACCAACATTCCACAGGCCACAATTGACAATCTGATAGACTCCATGCGACGATGTGTTGCACTGCATGAGGCAAATGGTGGTCACACCAGATACTGACCGGTTCTGGGTCCCCAGACCCCCAATAGCGCAAAAAACTGCACATTCCAGCGTGGCCTTTTGTTGTGGGCAGTCTGAGGTACACCTGTGCACTACTCATGATGTCAGATCAGCATCCTGATGTGGCACACCTGTGAGGTGGGATGGATTATCTCAATATAGCAGATGTGCCCACTACCACACATTTGGACTGATTTGTGACCACTGTTTGGGAGGGATGGTTATATTGTGTATCTGGAATGAATTTTAGGTCTCTACGTCCATCCCATGGGGAATGGGAGCAAAAACAAAAGTGTTGTGTTTATATTTTTGTTGAGTGTATATAGACACAGTCTGTGCAGCTGTGCAGCTGTCAGCGTGTTTCTATGGTTGTCCTTTACAAATTATCCATCCATGTAATTTTAAACATATTTTTTAAACATAGACATTTTAAAATATCCAGTTACCTCCCAGTTAGCATATGGCCTCTTTAAAATGAAGGGACTGCAAATAATTGCTAGAATTTCTGTGAAAGATGAAATTTGGACTGGAATTGATCCATGGACCTCTCAAATCTGTTGTTTGATCCACTGGAGCAAGTCCTGACACTCAGGTGTGAACCGATCAAACAGCAATGAATACTTTTGTACTGTTGGCAGAGTACATTAAATTATTATCATAATAATGCTATTTTACAGTTAAATACAGTTTCACTTATAATTCTGCAAATGCACAGCTTCTGTTCTAGGTCATAAGCCATTTTTAAATTGTATTTCTTTATGAATAAATGGGAGAACGGTCTTTATGAAATGCCAGGGGGCTGGAGTACATTATTCATATGATTGAATCCATCCTTAATGGATTGATTTTCCTGACAGAGATAAAGACTTGAAAGCTTTTTGAACACTTCGCAGATGCAGAGATATTAAAATTTGACTTTAAACTTTTGGTTCAGTTTTACTATGGGAAAGATTTTAAATCAAAATCAGCATCAGCCTTCACTAATACCCTGTAAGTAATTGGAAGCAAATGACAAAACATCTGGTGCAGCTGGATGTCTCTACACTGAAAAGGCTCAACATTATGACCACAGACAGGTGAAGTGAAAAACAGTTGACTTGTTAGAAGCAGGGAAATGGACAAGTGTAAGAATCTAAGCGAAGTTGAGGATGACTTAGACGAGTGAGTCAAAACATCTCCAAAACTGTAGCTCTTGTGGGGTGTTCCTGGTCTGCAGTGGTCAGTATCTATCACAAGCGATCCAAAGGAGGAACAGCGGTGAACCACCGACAGAGTCATGGGTGGCCAAAGCTCACTGATGCTTGTGGAGAACAAAGGCTGGCCCGAGTGGTCCAATCCAACAGACGAGCCACTGTAGCTTAAACTGCTGAAAACATTAATGCTGGTTCTGACAGAATACACAGAGCATCACAGTTTGTTGCGTATGTGGCGGCATAGCTGCAGATCACTCTGGATGCCCATGCAGACCCTTGCACAGTGTCAAAAGCACCAACAGTGGGCATGTGAGCATCAGACTAGACCACCGAGGAAGGTGTTCTAGTCTGATGAATCACATTTTCTTTTACATCATGTGGATTGCCAGGTGCATGTGAGTCATTTACCTGGGGAACACCTGATACCAGGATGCACTATGCACTAGGGCAGGGCAATATGGCCAGAAATATTTATCACGATATACATTTGAAAATTTGCAATAACGATATAACTGACGATATAATTGACGTGAGACAAAATACTTCACAACTCCACAACTTTATTAGTGCAACAAAAAAACCCCCATCAATGTATTTTCACTTAAACAAGCAGTTGTTTTTTATGTGCACTAAAGCTATATAAAAATTTAACAGCGCAAATGCAAATTACTTGCCAAAAGGCATTTCCAGTGGAAATTGGCCGACATATCCTCAGCATAACCATGTATAATATCCACAAAACTTAAAAAGAGGTTATACACACACAATACCATAATTTTATGTTGAAACACAGTATGTATTACTCCGCGAGGCTCCCGACTACGGTAGCTGTAATGCTCCGACAATCCATCAGGCGTAACAGAGAGTTCAGACTGTAGCTTAGCAAAGTCGTACTAAAACATTTTTGACAGATTTTGAGCGCCGTGTACCACATAAAATCGGTTTGGTAATAACAGTAATAACGACGGCCCGCTTGCATGCTCTACCAAAAAATGTGCTTTGGTGTGTATCTAACGGACAAAAGCCAAACCAGTTCCACACCACTGGAGCTGCGACGTTTTTACAAACCAATTCTGGTTCATCTGTTTCATTCAACGATCCGCTTTCGGCCTTCTCATTCTCCGTCTCTGCCATGCTTTTTCCGCCATGTGCGTATGAAAACAAAGGCACTGCGCATGCGCGTTTTACCCATATTCTATTGCGATATTTCATTTTCTTATAACATTATACTGGTATTACCGTGAACGGTATGATATGGCCCAGCCCTACTATGCACTCCACTCAAACATCTGTGGGATGTGGTGGACACACAAGTCTGGCCCCTGAAGGGCTCACTTCACATTTTACAGGACTTAAAGGATCTATTGCTAATATCTTGGTACCAGATAGCACAGCACACCTTCAGGGGTAAAGAGGAGTCCATGCCTCGATGAGTCAGGTGGACAAATGCAATTTTAGGCAGGTGGTAATAATGTTATAACTGATTGATATATATATTGAATGGACCAAAGGTTTAGGTCCTCCTTGCTTCGATTAAGGCTCTTGATCATTCTCCTTCCACTTGTTCTGTTTATCCTGATCAAATAAAGGCATAAATAAATACTTAAAAAAGGAGCCCATAAATGAATTGCAAGTAATGTTGGTGTGCCTACATATTTGTGATCATCTCAGTTTAAATGCTCTGCAGACTGCATGTGTTACCTGGCCTTCACTGACCGTCGCTAACAAACTATATAAATGTGTGTGTGCGTGTGTGTGTGTGTGTTAACAGCTGTGCCAGCACCCCCGGTGAATGTATCGGTGACCCAGCTGAGGGCACACTCGGCCATGGTGACCTGGAATGTCCCTCAGGGAGACACCGTCATCGGATACGCCATCTCACAGCAGGTACAATACAGCAGCCTCGTATCATCGCTGCATGCATACACTGAGCATGCACGGCCAATGGACCATGCCTTTTCTTCTTTTTAAACTGAATGTCAAATACATCCTGATGTGCCCTCTCATTCAGCTGAAGGCCGATTAATTTTGCAGGGATCCAAATTATGAATTGAATGCCCAGAAAAGCTGGACCGGTGCCATGCTCGGGCTAGAACAGCTTTTCAAAGATAAATTATGTATTTCTCATGCTCATCTCGATCTCACGAGGGCTTACTTCTTTCTCTTTTGTCCTCCTGCTGCTGTCTTCTGGGATTTATTAAAATGCTGCGTCATTCATTAGCCGGGTAGGCAGTCAGCATTCGGCTCAAAGACACTTTGAGTCATGAGGGGTGGGAAAGTTTGGAAACCTCTCAGAGGAATTTGCTCATTAACATTTTACTTCTTAAGGAGCTCGTTAATGTCAAGGATGGCTACTGGTTGACGTAGGTAATAATAAAAAACCAAATCTCTTAATTACATAAGGTGCAGCCAAAAGAAGGACTTTCCAAGCATCCAATTAGCAAGAAAAACCTGATTATCGAATTAATCGATCTTTAAATATCCCCCAGGAGGAAAGATCCTGCCGTGGATTTGAGGGGAAAAGATCGCTCACAAGTAAGACATCCACAGCTGTGCACTGGTGTGTCAGCTCAACTGTGTGAGGTTAACAAAAGTCATATGCTCTGCCTGTGTTTGGGGTAATTTATCATAAATAATTTAGTTGCACAGCTGTTGGGCCACATGCATAACGGTGTGTTAATGCAAAAATGGGCTTTAGAGATCTTCATAAGAAGTTGCAGGTATTTAATTAATTCAGGAAAAAAAAGACTCCAACAAATAGCTGAAAGCAACAGACACATTGGTAGCACGTGCTTTATTAAAGCCATGAATTCACTCATTACTGCTCTGTCTAGTATTATAGATACTATGTTCAGCTGTACTTCATACAGCTGTCTGTTTGCCTTTCAGACAGCTGACAATAGAACAATAGTGTATTTTGTCCTCTTTCTGACCCTAACATCTGGAAGAAGAAATACAGACTGCTCTCAGCTTACAGGTGTGGTCTTCTGCTGCTGCTGTTCAGATGCTCTTCTGCATACCTTGGTTGTAATAAGTGGTTATTTGAGTTATTGTTGCCTTCCTATCAGCTCAAAGCACACTGGTCATTTTCCTCTGACATCAAAAAGGCATTTTCCCTCAGTGAACTGATGCTCACCAAATAGTTTCTCTTCTTCAGGTCACTAGTAAACACTAGAAATGGTTGTGCAGGCAAATCACAGCAGATCAGCAGTTTCTGAAATACTTAAATCATCAACAACATTACCACATTAACATAATCTTCCACATTCTGATGCTCAGTTTGGACTTCACTAGGTCGTCTTAACCATGTCCACTTGTGTAAATACATTGAGTTTCTGCCAGCTGACTGGTTAATTAGATATTTGCATTAATGAGCGGTTGAACAAAATATGATTGTTCAGAATGTATTTCTTTTTCTTCATGAATTCATCGATTCATTGCTTACATTTCATTTAATTAAACGCTGCAGTCCTTCCACGTAGCACCTTTAAAGAACACAACTGTCACCTAAAGTACAAGAAGTTTGCGTCACCGTAAGAGACGTTTCACATTAATTCTGCTGTTACATAACAACATTTTGTCTGTCTGAGATCTCTTAAAAACCTCGGCTGCTAGCTCAGCTTGGCTCATTTTAATCAGTCTTCACCACCTACAGTTTTGGCAAAAGGAGAATGAGACATTAGCTGAGCTCTGAGTGGGTGTCGTCTCCATTAGCGGAAATTATTTGGCCAGGATTCGTCTCACAGGAGAAACATCCACAGCGGTGTCGATGCCAAACAACTCTTATTCTTTCTTTATGGGTTTTTTTCCCAAGTCACCTCACATCTGAGTCAGAATCCATCAACCTTTTGGCATTTTCAAGAAAACACAGGATCGGGATTTAAAACATCTCCTGCTTTAACCTCAGAAAGCACTTATGTAAAAAACACTTACTCAAATATTAATCGGGGAGGTGATGGTAGCAGGTGGATGCAGCGGGTATCCGTGCTGCAGGTTTTATCTACCGAGCCCGTATTTTCCATTGTTAGTCATCAAAGGTTGCCTTGGATCAGAGTGAGCTGCTACAAAAGGGCAAAAAATGCTGTTATATAAAAGGCTGCTCTGTCAATCAAGTATGTTTTCTACCATTTCTATTTTCCTTATTGCAAGAGTGGTCTCGCATCAGGCTTAAGTCTTGATTAGGATTCAAACGTGGCTGCTTTGTGGGATTATTTCATTCACAGTATTTTCGGTGACATGCCGAGCCTTCTGTTTGTGAAGGAGAAGCAGGACGAGTGAATGTGCCCAGACAAAGAGTTGCTTCACTCATCTAAAGTTGTTCCAAATCCCACGGTGCTGGCTGCCAAGATGCACGCGTTACACAACCTCGCTCCCAAGCACACAAACACATGAAGTAACCCAGTTTAAGTTTCTGTGTCTGAGACTCCCAGCAGTCCTGGTTTCTATGACTTCAAATATCAAACACACAGGGTTAATTGATGATTAGTGCAAGGGCAATGCTTATCAAATAAAACCTGCAGAGAGTGCCTGTTTTAAACTTGTGTTGTGATGTTTGTACCAGAAGAAGATTGTCAGACTGTGACAACATCAGAGGAGAGATTTGTTTTTCTGCACCACTTTCCTTCTGAAATGCATTAGGCTGCTGCTGACTTCTTTCCTGACCTAAAAATAGCGATGCACCCAAACTTCGTGTTCACCTGCAGACTTCACGGTCACATTTTACTGAAGTAAAGGTGCCTTCTGTTCCTTTTTAAAGTGTCTGAAGCTGAACCCTGACAAATCAAACTTTAAGACTGCTGCCAAAATTAAAAGAAAGCTCAAAACCCCCTGCAAGAACAAGAAAATATTACTTCAATTGTCAGAGAACTTCCAAGAGCACACATTAGGGTTTGTAGCAGCCAGTTGTTGATAATCAAATCCATTTGATAAACTGATCATTAGTGAGTGTGAGCACCTCTATAAAAGCAGACATTTGGGTAGTTTGCTGGTCTTCAGAAATCACAATGCCACAGTCTTTCAAGACGTAGACGTCCCAGCAAATTCACCCCAAAGTCAGACTGTGCAATGCTCAGAGAAACTGCAAAAAGAGCTACACCACACTTCATGACAGTACAATTAGAAAGAAACAGAAAAAGTATGGCTTCTTTGGAAGAGCTTCCAGGAGAAAGCCTCTTTGCTCTTAACAACCCACAAAATCCCTGGAATGAGGCTAAAGTTTGTTATTATGTTTGCTCATAATGCACAAAACCAAACGCCGCGTATCACCACAAACACCTCATACCCGCTGTCAGCATAGAGGTGGAGGCGTAATGATTTGGGCAAGTTACAGTCGTTGAGTCAATCATGAACACCCCTGCATACCAAAGTACTCTAGAGACATCTGTTAGGCAGTTAAAGTGTGGATCAAAGTAATGACCACCTCTAAGTGCAGACCTCGACCTGATTGAAATGCTGTGGCTTGGCAAAAGAGAGCTGTGCATAAATAAATGCCCTCAAACCCTCAATGAACCGAAGCACCGCTGCATGGACAGGAGAGCAGACCCAAAGTCCTCTACGATGTGAGAGACTGATATGACATACAGAAATGTACTGTTTCAAGTTGTCGCTGATCCCAAGGTGGTTCTACAAACTACTGAATTATGCATACTTTAAAAATCCTATTTTTTCCATCCTGTAAATGGATGCAGGGATTATAAAACACTCATGAAATCAACTAAAAGCAGAGAGTCTGTCAATGTAGAACGTTTGTTTTACCTACCTTGAAAATATAAAGACTGACTCTCAGCAGGCACCTCAAACCTGCAGGCTTTACTTTCTTCTGTCATCAAACAGTATAAAACGCTCATCATCAAATGCTCTTTTGCTTGTTAGGAATTAGAAAAAATCTGTTTTCCCATGGGTATTCCTATGTGAACTACAATTAGAAAATATATATAAAGATGACCAGCTTTTTTTAAAAGCGGTTATCTATTTTGGAGCTGACCTTTGTGGCACAAAAATATAAAGGAAAAAGGGGTGGCTCAAGACTTTTGCACAGACCTTTAGATGGCTGTGACAAGTGTCCATTAGTTTTGATTTCCTGGTTTACTGTCTTACTTAAAACTGCAGAATTAAATGTGCCTATGAGATAAACTGACAAAACCTGAAAATTAGAAAGTATCTTGAGTTACGTCAGCGGCACTTTTCAAAATTAGATGGTTTTGGAGTTTTTATTCCAAAATGGTAATGCCTCCATCACAGCTGAGTCACTGGTGCTGATTAACGATCCTTTTAACCCCCGTTGATTCAGTATTTACTTTTATATGACGGCCTTTTAGATCAAAGTGTCCTGGCTGACTCGCTGCCTGCAGGGCTGCCAGAGGAGCAGCAAACACCACTTTGACTCTCCACGCGAGACATCTGGAGAGCCTCGAGCGTCCTGACAGCTTTCTATTTATTGACTCTTCCTCAGCCTTCAGTGCTCCACAGGCACGTTCGCAATCTGGGAAACTTTCTCAAACTGGACTAGCTGTCGCTAGATGATGCTTACCAAGCAGTTGTTAAAAAATCCTCATTATGAGCTGTTCTGATGCCGAGCTGGTGGTTTTTTAGAATATTTGGTGTAATTGGTGTGTAATGGGCAAGTTACACACCAATGACAATAACGAAAAGCTTGAATATATTATGAGCCATTTTCTACAACCTCAAAAACAAGAATGCAGGCTGGTGCTTTTGTGTGAACACCAATTATCTCTGAGCAGCGCTCATCAGGATGTCTGCAGTTAAAAAGAAGACAGTTAAAGGTTCCTTCATACAGAGTCTCCAATCAGAGCAATTAAAGTCTCGTGCAAGTCTCGTGTTGTCGGGAAAACTTAGCCACACAAAAACATGATTTCTTTTTTTTTTTTTGTCACGCTAAACAAGATAAATACAGAATGCAGTTTTTAAATTATAATTTTGATTATTAGGAGAAGAAAAATTTACCCAAACTTACCTGGGCCTGTGTGAAAGAGTAATTGCCCCCTTAGTGTTTCTTCTTCACTTGATTTTTTCCCCACTTGCTATGTGTTTATACACCTCTCTGCATTTAATCATTATTTATTATTAATCTCTGTCTCTTCTCCACAACATGTTTTCGTCTTTTTTTTCCCCCCTTAACCCCAATTAGTTGTGACAAATGGCCTTCCCTCACTGAGCCTGGTTCATGCAGCGGTTTCTTCCTGTTAAAAGGGAGTTTTTTCATCCCCATTCTCGCCAAGCCTGTACGGGGACTGATTGTCGTGTTTTCTCTGTTTTCTTTGTATTATTGTAGGATGTCTACTTTACAATATAAAGCACATTGAGGCAACTGCTGTTGTGATTTAGCACCAAATAAATAAAACTGAATTGAATTTAAATTAATTAAATTAAATCTAATAACTAGCTGTGCCACACTTGGCCGCAAGAACTGCAATCAAGCGTTGCCACATGTGCAGTTTTATCAAGATCACCAATCTTAAAGGCTAAAATCAGGTCTCATTGTGTTGGCCTAGCAATTCCAGACACACAAACACAAATGCAAATTATGCTGGAAACTCTTAGCTTGTTTTCTGTGTCCGAGGGGGAATGAAGAACCAAAATGCATCTTAACTGCTGTTACCATGGTGCCACGTTAAGTGGAAGCCTTGTGTTTTCTGTTGTTGTTTGTTTTTTGCCATTTTCTTAATTTTACTGAACTACTAGTAAGTTTATTTACTCCATAAATATAGTGCAGATATCTGCCTGGCAGAGAATCCTCTGCAGACATTATTATTATTAACCATCCATTTTCTTCCTCTTATCAATTCAGGGTCCTGGGACTCCACCAGTCTTCATGTTCACATAACATGAAGGATTTGATTTGCAATTGTTACTTTGAATCCACGTGCACAGTGTATTTACATATTACCCTCTGAATCCACAGCTCATTTTAAAGATATGAACTGTAGAGTTTGGTGGGTAACCTTGTGAAAATGTTCTTGCCTCGATTCTCGCAGCCCCTCATGGATGTATACTGCTTTGTGTTGTCTTTCCATTAATTTTGTCTTCTTCTGCAGGCACCTTTTATCACTGGACTTTAAATAAACACGGTGAATGTGATCTTCTCAGTGCTAAAGCAGCTGAAAACTCAGATATTTCCCCAGGGAGGTGGTGGTGACCAAAAATGGAGCTAAAACTGATTAAATTGTGGACTTGAATTAAAGCATGGCTCTAAATTAATAATTATCTTTTTGTGTTTTACCTTCTGATTGCAAAAATGGAGATGATAATATGTCTGTGTTGTATTTACAATTTATAAATCCACCCATCCCCAAATTTTCACTACATACAGCTGTTAAAAAGTAAACTTTATCTCCACGGGGTCACCATCTGTTTACCTGCTGATCCAGAAAGTGACATTTCTTCATTAATTCTGCAGCTCCTTATACTAACAGAGCATCTCTGCCTAAACATGTGTTTTTCTGTTTATTTTGAATGACTATTGCTGGTGTTACCTTGCCTGCAGACCTAATTTCTCCCATTGGGGCTGTATGGGTGTGAGGTGAATTTCTATGAGGCGAAGCTGCTTGTTACTGCAGGGATTCTGCTTGCATTTCAAGTATTTGCCTTTAAATGTGACATAATGATGATTTTTTTTATTGGTAAATTAGTTTAGCAAAGTTTACTTTAAAAGAAAACAGAAAAGATTCTTCTCCTTTTAAGACAACACTATCTGCCTCGAGCAAAGTACGAGGCCATTACTGCTTTTATTAGATCATAATACTTAAGCTGTCAGCCGGATACGCTGATCAGATCCCGAGATTTGATTTAAATTTGCCGTAAGTGTGGCACATTAATGTCTTTGTGTGTGCAAAAGCATCCACCACATGTATTCCTCATGTGTGCACGTATCCTGTCTCCAGAGGCAGGACGGCCTGATGCAGCGCTCCATACGAGAGGTGAACACGTCCAGCCGCTGGTGTGTGCTGTGGGACCTGGACGAAGACACACACTACAGTGTCCAGGTGAGAGAAAAACACACACAGTGTGAAGTGTAATAGCTATTACCTATTTAATGATAGCTATGTAATAGCTAATAGCTAATTAGACTGATGTATGTATTAGTTGGATGGTATCTTTTTCTAAAAGGCAGGTGTGTAATGGTGTAACTAACCATTTTTATTGGCTATGTAACCCATAAACACTGCCATTACAAAAGGTCTTATGCAAATGTAGGCTTACAAAACACAAAATAGCAAAAGAAGAAGAAGTTGATAATTCAGAAGTATTTTGGAGCAGTTGTGAAACCCAGGAGGAGGAACGACATGCAGGACGCACCGTGAACAGGACTGAAGTGTTCAGCCCACAGCTGTACACAAGGAAACAAGAAAAAACTCTGGAAAACCAGGAATGATGGCTGGGAAGTTTGAGGAATGCAACAAGGCAATCTGGCAAATTTAAGGAGGTTTCTCACGTGATGTCTCACTCCCAGAAACCTCCAGCAACCACTTGCCAATCAGTTGGGGAATACACACTGCTCCCTAGCAACCAGTGTTTACCGAGAGGGGGTGGTCTGTGTCCTTAGGTCTGTGTGAGTGAGGCCTAAGCTTCCTCCATTTGCCTGTATTTTTTCCATATTTTCCTACAAATCACTCACTGTTACACAACTTGATAATGTGCAATGTGAACTGAAAATGGAGAAGTTTCAAAGAGAAGCCAGCGTTCTTCAAAAAAGGCAACTTTTGTTTTGAAGGCAAACCTTCTCCATTTCTGGTCTGTCACACTTTTCACAGTTTCACGGCGCCTGAGAGAGCAGGTGTTTGTAGGCAAGCCCATCACTACAATTCAAATTACGGCCACAGCAATCTGCTAGCAACAAAATCAATCACAGCAAAGTTTTTGCCAGGTAGATGGGGAATATACATTTTCCCTTAGTTACAGATGGTTGCTGGGGGCTCACTGGCATGTCTGCCAGCTTCCACATTCTTGATATTGGAAGCTGTTTCTTTTAGGCTGTTATGATAGGAACAGTTGAAAAATGATGGAGGAAAACGGGCATTGAATGACACTTTTGCTTTAGCCAGGTGTCCAAAAATGGTGCACAAGTTAACATCATGTGGTTAGCGGTCACGTCTACAAAACCTCAAAAATTAAGAGATTGATTACTGATTGAACACAGGTATGATGAAAAAGCAGTTGAAAACAGGCAGGAAGTACGTCTGACTGAAGTGTAAGACTGGCTGAGACTTCAGAATAAAACAGGAAGTGGCTAAAGCAACAGAGAAATAGAAAAATAGAAAAAGGAAGTAGGTAGACTTGACATCAGCCAGCAGAATAAAACAGGAAACAACTAAAGAAAAACTGTCTGTGTCCTCCTAACTTTGCAAATTTTAAAAAATTGACAACAATCATGGAAGCTAAGCCAAACCATTTGGGTTAAACAATAAAGTCCTGTATTCCACAAAAGTTGCTGCAAAAGAACTTTAATGTCTTCAGATTAATGCTCTTCTCTGTGCACCTTAAATGAATGAAGTTGTGTCACAAGAGTATGTGTCTGTCCAGGTCAGGACAATCTTTTAGATGCCAGACCAAAGAATTTTCAGCATGTTGCAAAAAGGGACTCATAGTTTTGAGCCATAAGGTAAGAAAATGTTCATCATGTTTGTACAAATAGACATGAGGTCTAAATGATATATTAACAAAGCCATACATTTAGAAATAAAACTGGACGATTTGGTCTTTGTAAGTGCTTTGAAATTGAGATTTCTTACCTCTGTGTATGGAAAAAAGAGACCTATCATCATCCTTTTCTTCTTTATTTTCATTCTATGAGTCAGCTAGAGTACATTTGCATGATTCACAGTTTAAAAAACTGTGACTGGTTGTTTATAGAGCTCCTCAGTTCATCCTCTGTCTGAAACAAGTAGTTTTACCTCCTGTTCTTTAAGACCTACACCTTGAAAGCTCATTTTAGCCTGTTTCATGGCTGGCCAAGGCTGTGAGTCTTTGCTTGGCAGTTTCCAAGGCCTCAGGTATGGACAGCTTGCTGTATTTCTTAGGCACCTTATTTGTCGCACCTTTCTGCAACTCCGTTAGTTGGCTAACCTCCCTCCGTGCTACTTTGATCTTGCCCTCTAGCCTCCTTCTCCATGGAGGGTACTGCCCCTTGTCGCTGTTCAACTTGTAGCTAAGCATGTCACTGATCACTGCTGCCGTATTGTAGATCAGCTTGTTAGTGTCGGTAATCGTGGTTGTAGATATTGCCCGTAGTGCTGCATTAACATCTAGCAGACCTTCTGAGGGTACAGATGCCCCAGAGACAATCCAGCACATAACAGCAGGGTGCAAGATGCTAGCAGGCAAGGCATACATGGAACGCCATAACCAAGTGGCCGGCATAGTGTACAGGAACATCTGTGCCGAGTATAACCTGGAAGTCCCGAGGTCAAAATGGGAGATGCCCCCAAGGGTGGTGGAGAATGACCGAGCTAAGATCCTGTGGGACTTCCAGATACAGACGGACAAAATGGTGGTGGCTAACCAACCGGACATAGTGGTGGTAGACAAACAGAAGAAGATGGCCGTAGTGATCGATGTAGCGGTTCCGAATGACAGCAATATCAGGAAGAAGGAACACGAGAAGCTGGAGAAATACCAAGGGCTCAGAGAAGAGCTCGAGAGGATGTGGAGGGTGAAGGTAACGGTGGTCCCCGTGGTAATCGGAGCACTAGGTGCGGTGACTCCCAAGCTAGGCGAGTGGCTCCAGCAGATCCCGGGAACAACATCGGAGATCTCTGTCCAGAAGAGCGCAGTCCTGGGAACAGCTAAGATACTGCGCAGGACCCTCAAGCTCCCAGGCCTCTGGTAGAGGACCCGAGCTTGAAGGATAAACCGCCCGCAGGGGCGTGCTGGGTGTTTTTATATATATATATATATATATATAATATCTTCTTTAATATCAAATATCTTTACCTTCAAAACTCACCTATTATACTTTCTGCCAGCTCATTCTAATTGGATGGTTTCCTGGCACAGACCCGGCTTTTAAGCCCAGTTCAGAGATTTTCAACAGGATTGAGGTCGGGGCTTTAGGAAGGCCATTCCAGAAGCTCAATGCTAGCCTGCTTTATCTATTCCCAACTAGTTTTGATCTGTTTGGGATCATTGTCCTGATTTGAGGTGAATTTGAGGAATTTGGAGATAGTCATCCTTCTTCATTATTCCATCAACTTCTTGCAGTGTACCTGTCATGGTCCTGGGTCTTTTGACCCAGCGTTTTATGTTTGAGTTTATTTTGTTCATTAGGTTATCTAAGTTCATTTGGTTATTGGACTCCTTGTGTTTTCTTCCCCTGTATTTAAGCTTCCCCTCACCCTTTGTGTTTCATGCTGCGTGTCTTATGTTATCAAGTTTGTATTATCATGCCTAAGTGTTTCTAGTTCTTATTATTTCCCCCTCCGTTTCCAACCATGTTAAATCTCCCCTGCTCTTCATGCGTTTCATGTCTGTGTCTTACGTTGTCAAGTTCTGGTTGTCGTGTCTAAGTCTGCATGTTTCTTGTTTTATTTTGAAAAAGGGGTCTTGTGTTCTGTGCTCATGCGGTTAGTTTTACTCTTGCCTGTGCATCATTATGTTTATCCTAGTCAGCTGTTTCCTCATGTGTCTCCACTTCCCCTAATCACCTCCTGTGTATTTAAGTCCTCTGTTTTCAGTGTGTGATTGTCAGGTCGTCTGTTGTCCACGCCATGTTTCCGATGCCATGCCATGCTTCCAAGTTTCTTGTCTAGGTTTTTCTTATTGTTTGTTTAGATTCCCCAGTTTAGGTTTGTGTTAATTTTGCTTCAGTTTGCCTTGCCCTTTGTTTGTATCTCTTCTACCAGCCATATTAAACGGCTCGCCTTTTGTTAACATTTCAAGTTCTGTTCCCTGTTCCTTGGAGTCTGCGTTTTGGGTCCTTTTCTCAATTCATACAGTCTGCCCTCGCCAGACTGTGACAGTATCAGTACCACTGGCAGCAAAACAGCCCCACAGCATGAACCTGCCACCACCATGCTTGACAGCTGGTACGGCGTTCTTAGGTAATAATAATGTTGGTCCACGATCAACATTATTTTCATGATGTAGCAACAAAGTGGTGACACATCTGAATAACTTGTAGCCTACTTATGTACATTTGTTTGAATCACTGATCTTGGAATCTGCAGTTGTTTAGAAATGGCTGCAAGACCTTCACAACCTTCCCAAATCTACAGTTCTCCTTCTTGGATCTTCACTGAGTTCCTTGGACTTTCCCATTGTTCCGAGTATTGGTCAGCCTAATGAGTGCCGTCAAACAAATCCTTTTAATACTGCAAAGAGAAACTACCAGCTGTACACAGTCATGATCACTAACGAGAAGTTAATTGGCCTTGTGAGTTAAAAGACATCATAGAACAATCAGCACCATTTAGTAAAAGATTTAAGAGTGTATGCATATTTTTGAGCCTGTTTGGATTAGAAAAAATCCAAAATAAATAGATAACTGAATTGAAACTTACCCAGTTCTTGTTTTTCAAAGTCATTAAAGATTTATCCTGTACAATCATCCCAGCCTAGAAATAGAACAGTTCCAAGAAATAATTAAAAGCCCAAAATTACCACGACATTCATGCCTATGATGAGTGGATGTAAACGTCTGACCAAAACTGTATATCTATGTATTACTCAGTGTAATGAAGCTGAAAGCTGATTATAAACTCATATTTTAAGCACAAGTCCACATAAATGTAAAATAATTTGATATTTTCACAACCTGGCAACCTTACAAATTGCTTATCCAGGGCTGAAAAACACTGCTGAACCTCTCATAAAAACATTAATTACCATTTTAATTATGTTAATTATTTCAGTATCATTTAATGCTTGGTTAGCGAATAGATGGATCATCTGCATCACAGCTGAGAAACTTTCTTAGATGATGACAAAGCATTTTTTCTTAAATCAAGTGTCAGTGTTTGATCAACCTAAACAGTGACACGTCTCTGTTCTGAAAGTTTAAACTAAAACTGCAGCTCCTCTCTGAAGAGGGAGTCTCTAATGTGACTCCATTATCGTGGTGCTATTAAAATTTTTATAGCCTAACAGACTGACGCAGACTGCAGACTGTCCTTCAGCTGCAGGACTTGCTTCAATGTGCTCGTCAGCAGACAGATGTCCTGCGAAAGTGTCATTGAGCAATGCATTGCTGCCCGGTGAGGTCCAGAGGGGGCTGAATTTGACCTCTGACCTCCCTTTGGCGTGCGGGGAGGTTAAAAATTAAAGGATGAATTTCCCAATGGAGTTGGGTGTTGTTATCCAGGATGAGGGGACAGATTAGAGCTTGCAGAGGACACTTTGCAGGCATCAGACTGTAGAATTAGAGGAGAACAAACACTCTAAATTCAAGGACTTACTTCATACACTCCACAGAAAACTTGCTGCATACTGCCGTTGGCTGTGTTGTGTAGGTGGAGAGAGCATCTGTGGCACATTGAGACCTCGTGTGGATGTAATTTTATCTCTGTGATTGATTGATTTCCCTGTGTGTGCATTAAACTTAGTGCTTCCTGTTACAAAACTCCACTGCAGCCCGATTTGAATGTGAAACACCATTAACACGTGTTTATTTTTTACACAAAGCCTAATTTTATAATCTTTCCCAGTGACTGAAAATGTCCCCAAATGAGCTTATAGCTTAAATTCATATTCTCTCTGTTGCCTTTCAAGCTTTTACTCAGCGTCCTCCAATGATCATTCAGGATCACGGCCAAAAGCCAAAGCACCGCTCGCTCACTAAATATACCCTCGGCAGCCAGTTTCTTACCATCGTTGCATAATGTTGTCCTTTGTTAATGCCACTGTAAGAATGCACCCAGAGTTTGTGCTCAGCTGTCATCAGCTTGGCTCTACCTTTGCTTAAAAATATCTTAACATTCCCTCTAAATACTTTTTTCCCCCTTGTTGGATGTAGGTGCAGTCCGTTGGGCCGCACGGTGACAGCCCACCCAGCCGTGCCGTCCACTTCAGGACTCTGGAGAGGACCGACCATTATCCAGCCGGAGTCCTGGACCACCGTGAGTGCTCATAAACACACTCCAGAGGGGAGCTTCCTAAAGTAAAACACATGACGTGCCGTGTTTCAGCAGCACAGACACAAATCTGAGGTATTTTATTGTTGCATGAAGTACGCAGAAGTTTGGTGTCTCAGAAACGCTGTTTTAAGTCAAGTTTTCAAGGTGTGTATGCACATGTTAAATACTGGCAATAATAGTCTGTGGAGCTTCGAAAGAAATGTGTCTGGACTTTAAGACCGACAAAAACTGGTTCATCCCGAAGACAAAACTCCTAAAAACAAACTTAGCAACATAGTATATGCTGTACTGTGTAGCGAGGAATGTTCAGACCTCTACATTGGAGAGACCAAACAGCCACTTCACAAACGCATGGCTCCACCTCGACGGGACAAGACTCAGCGGTCCATCTCCATCTAAAGGACAAAGGTCACTCTTTTGAGGACGCCAATGTTCAAATTTTGGACAGAGAAGACAGATGGTTTGAAATAGGAGGAAAAGAAGCCATCTATGGCTACGTTCAGATGGCAGGCGAAAGCACATCAAATCCGACTTTTTTGACCCTGTGCGACCCATATCCGATCATGGTATGACAGTGTGAACAGCACAAATCCGATATTTTCAAATCCGATCTGGGCTACTTTCATATGTGTTACTGAATCCGATACATATCTGATGTTTTAGAAAGCGACTGCTGTTTGAACGGTCATGTCGCATTAAATCCGTGTCTTATGTCACTGACACAAGACAGACACCAATTATCAGCGCCGGAGAAGACATCGTGAATGCTTCCTGGCCATCCAGTGTAGATGTTAGTGAAACTGTTGGGAAGACAACGTTGGAGAAATGTGAACATTTTATTTGTACAATACAATACAATTTTATTTATATAGCACATTTAAAAAACCACAGGTACTGTATGCCAAAGTGCTTCACAGAACGAGTTAAGAGCAATAATAAATACAAGTACAAAACACAAAATACAAAAAACAAATAAAATATACTAACAGGCGGGAGACATAACTAACCAATAATACACCAGGCATAGTAGGCACAAACCAAAAGGCTGAAGGTTAAAACATTATAAACATTAATAAAGCGAAAAAGATAAGTTACAATACACTAAAAATGCGGGCTCTAGGAGGCGGGGAAAGCAAGGCTAAACAAATACGTTTTTAATCGAGATTTAAAAGATTGAATTGAATCAGACGCCCGAATAGCTAGAAGGAGGTTATTCCACAGGTAGGGTGCGAAAGCGGCGAAAGCGGCGAATGCGCGGTCACCTCTGGTCTTGAGCCGAGATCTAGGTCGCACCAGGAGCATTTGACCTGCTGATCTAAGCGCTCTCCCAGGGGTATAAAAGCTGAGGAGATCCGTAAGATAGCTGGGCACGGTGTTATTTATGATTTTAAAAGTGAGCAATATGATTTTAAAATCAATACGGAATTTAATAGGGAGCCAGTGCAGGTCGGAAAGAACTGGAGTAATAGACTCAAACCTGCCAGTTCCAGTTAAGAGACGCGCAGCCACATTTTGAACGAGCTGCAGTTTGTGAACAAGGGCAGAATTGAGACCAGGGAATTACAGTAATCTAACTTTGATGTAATAAAAGGCATGGATAAGTTTCTCCAGGTCCTTACGTGGTAAGTAGGGCTTGGCCTTAGAGGTTAGACGTAATTTATTGAAACTCGATTTAACTACAGAGGACACATGTTTGTGCAACTTGAAGGAACTGTCCAAGACAACACCCAGGTTCCTCACAGTGTCAGAAAGGGAGTCAGCAAAGGGCCTGAGAATACCAATTAGTTCAGCCTGAGAGGAGGGAGTATCAAAGATTACAATTTCAGTCTTCTTATCATTTAGAATGAGGGAATTGCTCAGTAGCCAGATTTTAACTTCATTCATACAATCGGAGAAGTGTTGCAACGACAACGTGACATCCTCAGCCAGTTCAAAATAGATTTGAATGTCATCCGCATAAAAGTGAAAAGAAATATTGTATTTATCAAAGATTCGGCCCAAGGGTAACAAGTATAAAGAGAACAGCATGGGACCCAACACAGACCCCTGGGGGACACAGGGGTAACAGGGGCAATGGAGGAGGAGTAGGTACCCATGGTGACAGAAAAGGACCTTTCTGAGAGATAGGATTTAAACCAGCTAAAGGCACTGCCCGTGATGCCCACCAGATGTTTAAGCCTCATTAAAAGGACATTATGGTCCACCAAATCAAAAGCAGAGGACAAATCAAGCAAAATTAACACCACAGGGCACCCTGAGTCAGCAATTGAGAGAAGATCATTAAAGACTCTCAGTAATGCAGTTTCCGTGCTATGGCGTGGCTTAAAGCCCGACTGAAATTTTTCCTCGATATTATTTGCATCCAAATAAGTTTGAAGTTGGGAATGAACAATCTTCTCTAGGATTTTAGACAGAAATGGGAGTTTGGAAATGGGTCTAAAGTTAGCGAGATAATTCTGATCAAGGGAGGTCTTTTTGAGTATAGGTTGCACTACAGCATGTTTAAAAGCAGCCGGAACACAACCCGATAACAATGACAGGTTAATTAATGATAGAATACAGGGCTCGATAATGTTAAACCCATCTTTAATAATACGAGATGGAAGGATGTCATGAGCAGCGTTTGAGTTGAGTGTATCTGGACCTTCAGTACTGGTGTACCCTCAAGAGTACTGTATAATCTGCAGATTCTGACAGAAATCTGTAACTATCCTTTGAAGCATCTAAAACAGCAATAAGGATAATTATTAGGCCATATGTAAATAACAAAATAACTTTATAACTTAAAGCAAAATTGGGAAACGTAAAGTCCAAAACAAATCTTTATAGTAAGGGCCATCAGTCAAACCATCTATGAACAGAGGGCGGGGCTTTACGACACCAACTGTCTGCTATCTAAAATTCAGTTCTGAGATCCCTTCCCAGACGCCTTAACGCCCACTCACATCCTGGGCCTTCTAAACTCAGGTACTCACATGATAGGGTGGGGCTAGGTTTCACAATGAGCCCACACGAAAGCCTGGCTGATTGTGAGCTACACCTATTTTCACAACTTGGCTCATGTGATTAGGTAGAGGATCATTAGGGGGTCCTTTGTCCCTCTCGGGGGGGATACTCCCACAGGGCTAAAATCTGGGACTCTCCACCATTTGACCCTAGAACTGAAGAAGCTTCTCGATTGAGAGGTGAAACGTCTTGAAGCAACTTAAAGAAGTCCAGACGCTTTTCTTTCCAAGCTCCTTAGACTATGTTGACCTGGATGACTGAGAACCTTCACAGACACTGGCAATAATAATAAAATGATGTAGTTGTAATGTTGTACGCGTTATTCAGTATACAAAAGTCTTGAGCCACTCCTCATGTCTTTGTGTTTTACTTCAAAGGCATAGTTCTTTTGTATCTTTAGTTACTTTGTTATTAGCAACCTATCATAAAAACACACCATTTGTTTCAATTTCTTTGGTTGAATCTGTGAAAAATATCAAAGATAACACAGTTTGACAGACATAAAATAGTATTTTTGCACCAGAAAGGTGATTCACAAAGAGATATAGCTGAAAGCTTGGCATATCTCAGCATGGTGTGCACTGTGTCCTTAAAAATTTTGAGGAAACTGGACAAGTACAGCAGATGAATACTATCTAAAAGTCACGTTCTTAAGAAACAGGGGGGGGGAATCCAGCAAAGACCTGACACTGTCAGGTGAGGCTGTATGCAGGCAGGAGTGGTGGTAAGGAGGACCCAAAGTGCAGACTCACAGAGATGGAATGTAAACTCAAACTTAGATTTATTGTAAAATAAAAACCAAAAACTAAACTGAAAACGACAAAACCAAACAGGCTGACAGGCAGAACACACAGCATGATAAGACACTAGATCGTGACACAGACAGAGGAACACACAGGGCTTAAATACACAGAGGGCGCAATCAAGGAATGGAAGGCAGGAGGGAAACACAGCTGGGACAAATCAGGGCTAACGAGACAAGGGAAGCAAAATCAGGGACTTTCAAAGTAAAACAGGAAACATAATACAGAGACGCGGACTTGACAAGGGGATAAAGATGACAGAGGAGACAGAGCAACTATAGAACACAGATACATAAACCATAGGACAGAGAACTCTAACAAATAAACCAAAAGACTAGAAATGATAAAAAATGGCTAAGTCAAAGTTCAACAATAATGAAAACTCAAAACTCTGGGTCAACGACCCAGGTCTCCTAACAGACACAGGACACGAGAAATGCATCTGGACCTTCAGCTGATCCAGCTACTGTTCATTGAAGCCTCAATGAAATGGTCTCAGTGAAAGCGTGGCTGTCAGGAAGCAATCATTAATGGAGGGAAACAGGGAGGAAAGGCTGACATCTTGGCGATCTTTGTCATAATTGTTGTAACACCATCTGGAAACCATCTGATTGGCAGCAGCTTCATTTTTCACCATGACAATGATCCTAAACACAATGCCAATGCAGTAAAATAATACCTCGATTGAAAAACACATAGTGGAACACTATCGGCCATGGATTTAGCCTCCCCAGAGCCTGGATCTCAACATTATCGAAGCAGTGTGGGATCATGCTGACAGAGAACGGAACAAAAGGCAGAAACAACCAAAGAAGAGCTTTGAATGTCCTTCAAGAAGCCTGGAGAACTATTCCAGCTGCCTAAGACTGTCCTGAAGAATAAAGATGGTCACAACTCATTAGAGTTGTACAAACTCTGTTTTTGCCTCATATATTTGCACGTTTCAGTAGATCACATTTTCCTAGGAAGATATAAAGAAAGGGTTGACTCAAGACTTTTGCATAGCACTGTAGTATAAGGGTGGAACAGTAGCAGTAAAAATAATACCTGTAAAGTAGCCATAGCAACTACAAACATCTGGGGGGAAAAATCCCATTAAGTACTGTGTTTACAAAGTGTCATAGCGTACATGTTACTCCTGTGTGCCTCAGAGCTTCACTGTGGTGGTCATTAAAAACACATCAGTGAGTCACACTGTTGCACTGACTCACATGTTGCATTATTACCATGAAAACAACAGAAAATGTGGATCAATCCGCTACTAAAAATAGTCCACATTAAACGTACTGTGAGCCTTTCAGATTTTTTTATTTTTTTTAATGGGATTTGCTGGTAGAAGATAGAACTGTAGTATATTCTGTTGAGTAGAGTTTGACCAGACTTGTCTTTGTCCTCAGATGAGCCAGCGATGGAGGGTCTGGGTATGACTCCACAACTGGAGACTGGAGAGCTGCTGATCATCACCACTGTGCTGTTGCTGTGGGCAGGTCAGCTTGCACCAACAGACACCATCCAATGGACACTCTAAGCATCTCTTCTGAATAATTTTCCTTTCTAACTCCGTTAACCGCCTTAATGTATTCAATAAAATTCATGTGTTAATTTAATATGACCTGAATCTAGTGCTTGAGACTGCAAACTCATCAAGCGAGGGATGTTTTTGACTTCTTTTCTCTTTGCTTTCCACACCGCCAGCCGTCATCGCCCTTTTCTGCCGGCAGTACGACATCATCAAAGACAACGACTCCAACGGCACCAAGGAGAAAGCCAAGCGGCCGCTGGTCCGAGCCACTTCCTCCTACTACAATGCCTCAGCTGGCAGCTCGCCCATCTACCACAACGGAGCCGTCCGCAGCAGCAGGGTGACTCATTTACTAAAACTTCCTCCTCTTCCTCCCCTCTTCGTCTTGCTGCAGAACTCCTCTATAATGCACGCTCGCTCCTGGCTGCCAGGAGTATTTTGTTTCCTCTGTAGAGTCTTTGTAGTTGCATCAGAGATCTCCTAGCAACTAGAGCTACTGCCATCGCAGCTAAATATAAAACAGCCGGGCTGAAAACAGAGAGCAGCGCAAACGCCCATTCAGTTGTTGCTGAGCATCTCCTCAGTTAAAGCGAACAGGCAGACGATTTGTTTTTGTTTTTCCACATGCGAGCAGCTTTAATTAGACACACCAGCTACAGGTGTCCTGGTTGCAGCGCCCCCTAATGGCCACATTTCATTTATCACCCATTTCGTCATCTGCAAGATTACTGGTGCAGAGAATAACATCAGATAGAAGAACATTTCTTCACTTGTGGTGTTGAGTAGAGAAAGCGAGGCTGTACGTTCACGGCCTCATTACAAACTCTCAGAGGAAGGTTACAACAAATCATAAAACGTTGGTCATTAAGAGGAAGGAAACAGAGGACACAGATTATGTGCGTTAATAGAATAAGGAACTATCCAGCAGCCTGAATCCCGGTGCTGTGAAAAAGTAACTGCCCCCTTTATTAAATCATGTATTAAGTCAGTGACATTTATCAGTCTGGAAAGGGTTAAAAAGTCATTTCTGAGTCTTTGGGACTCCAGTGAACCACAGTGAGAGTCATTATCCACACATGCAGGAAACTTGGAACAGCGGTGAAGCTTCCCAGGAGTGACCAGCCAACCAAAATTACTCCAACAGCTTCGATGGCTCATCCAGGAGGTCACAAAAGAACCACAACAACATTGAAAGAACTGCATGACTCACTTGTGTCAGTTAAGGTCAGAGTTCATGATTCAACAATAAAACAGAGACTGGACAAAAATGGAGAAAACCACTGCTGACCAAAAAGATCACAAAAGCTTGTATCACATTTACCAAAAACATCTTGATGATCCCCAAGAAAATATTCTGTGGACTGACGAGACAAAAGCTGAACTTTCTGGAAGGTTCAAGTCCTGTTACATCTGACATAAAACTAACAGCATTTCATAAAAAGAACATCACAGCAACCGTCAAACATGGTGGTGGTAGTGTGATGGGGCTGCTTTGCTGTTTCAGGACGACTTGCTGTAACTGATAGAACCATGAATTCTGCTCTCTACCAGATAATTGTGAAGGAGAATGTCCGACCATCAGTTCAAGACCTGAAGCTCAAGAGCACTTGGGTTATGCATCAGGACAATGATCAGAGACACACCAGCAGAAATAAACAAAATGTTTTTGGAGTGAAGTCAAACTCTGGATTTAAATTAGATTGCAATGCTTTGCACTGACCTTAAACAGGTCGTTCATGCTGGAAACCCTCCAATGTGTCTGAATTAAAACAATTCTGCAAAGAAGAGTGGGACAAAATTCCTCCACAGCGATGTGAAAGACTCATTGCCAGCTCTCATGACTCATTTAACTGCAAAATGATCTTGGTGCTCAGCAGCCTTGCTTTTACAAGGGGGAGTACTAGTTAAGTTGAGTCTCATGTTGCACAGAGATTCATGCTCATTTGGTGCAGACTGACTTAGATTGATTGAATGCTGGAAATCTGTGTTTCTGAATTTGCGTTTAGGATCATTTGCAAACTTTTGCCAAGTGGTCTCAGAGTGATTGCAGTCTGTTTCAAGACAGGTTGCCTCCCTCCAGGCAATCAAAAGTGTTCATGCTTTTGGTGTCGCAACTACTTGCAGCACTCGATCATGAAAAAATGCAGTGCAATCACCAGCTTTTCTAGTTTTCTAGTTCAATTTTCTGGTCGCAAAGAGGTTGACATGCTGTTTTTACTTTAATGTGACGGAGACAGTCAGTTTGGTTTGGGAAAGGTTCACAGCTTGGATTAAAATACGGCCCTTCACAAAATGAACCATGGTCAGCCAGTGCATTTAGATGCAATGCCACTGAGTCCTTTAAAAGCTTCTATGTGGCATGGTAAGTTTGAAGTGAGCGACAGCCTGTGTGACTCCAAATCATAAATGTGGAGTTTACAGATTTCTGTCCTCTGCTGCGCTCTGTTTTAAAATCTTTTCCTTTAATCCATCGCCTGTCTATATGTATCAAAGAGTGTTTGTGGAGAGAATGTCCCGGAACATTTTGGCAGGGCATCTGTCTGTCGGAAGTTAATTCACACTTCCCGTTCTAATTGGCCTCTCTCGCTGCGAGAACCTGTGACTTCACTGCTCGCAATGTACGGGTCAATTGACCGCCCACCGCGCGCAGCTCGCACTGTTTATTCATACAGGACGGCTTCCAGTGGTGTCAAAGTGAGAGAAAGGCAGCTGAAACTGCACTGGCTGGATTTAATGGTTAATTTAATTATAAAAACACCACTCTTATCTTAATTTAGTCTTTTCTTATTGGCATTTCTGCAGCTTTTAAGTGTCCTTACAGTTTATTAGCTACTTCTCGTGAGTTTAATCCTTTAAAAAAATAATTCATTTAGGGCTATGTCTACTTTCCTGGGGATATATGTGCACACACAGATTTCTGCAGAGATTTAAATACCAAAGCCTAATGATGGATTCAAAATAAAAGCATCCTACTTTAAATAGGATAGTCTTTAAATAAAAAGCTCCTGGGAGCCGTTAGTTCTCTGCTCACCCTCGCTCATTGATTGGCAAGTAAATCTCTGACATGCATGACATGCTGTGGTCTGTGATTCACGTCTCATGGTGTGCTCCTTCTCTTTCAGCTGCACAGGGCCTCCTCCTCCATCAGCATCATCAGGGTCTGAGATGCGGGTGCCGGATCGGAGCCTCTTGGACAAGCGAGGAGGATTTACAAACTCAGAGTCCAATCTATTGTAAAATATGGGCCGAGTAAGGAACCACTCCATGCAAATCAGACTGAAATGAGAGCGAGGAGCCATGCTGCGGAGACCGTGGACGGCTGCTGCTCTCTAGTGGCCAGAGACTCGGGGGGCTCAGAAACAGCTGGAAGGAAGCTGGACTCATCTGAAGTGCGGCCAAACTAATCTCCCGTTTTCTTCTCTCTGATGTCAAAGACTGAAGTGTGAATATTTGCCAGCATGTCGGCCCGACCGTGTGCCAAGTCCCACTCGCCTCAGACTCATTCATTTTCAGCAGACATTCTTTCATCTCGGGTGTTCAGCTCATCCCTTTTTCTTTTTACCCGCTGTAGAACCACACGTTTGAAATCCTGTCTGGATGGTTATTTAATGGGATTAATTCACATTACTTTCATGTTCGGTAATTTAGCATCGCAATTCAAATCTGTACATAGGCTGAAGGTGATTGTAAAGGTAATTCACAGAAGCATTTGAATGTAGGAGGTGGTAGTGGGGAATTTACATTGTAAAACAATTCATAATTAGTTTAATTAAATCATTGAAATTGTGTGATCGCCTTTTAAATTAAGTTTAAGCTTTTTGTTTTCTCAGAGTTTCTAAAAGCAGAAATGATGTGAACAACTCTCAAGATATATCACCTGAAGTTTCCAGCAGCTTCTCTTGTTGTTTCGGATTTTGTTAAAAGGTTTTATTTCTATCTGAGCCACTTAAAAGTACAGCTCTAAACCTTGTCTGTCCCTCAAAAACACCTATTTTTACAGCTTAACTTACACTCAATGGCCACTTCATTATGCATGTCTGATAAACAGCTCATTAAGCATTAAAATTTCTAATTAGCCAATCAAGTGCAAGCAACTCAGGGCATGTAGACATGGTCAAAATGACTTACTGAACATAAGCTCAAACAGAGCTGGACAGTAGAAGATTTGAAAAATGTTGCCTGGTCTGATGATTCTCAATTTCTGCTACAACGTTCAGATGGTTGAGTCAAAATTTGGTGTAACAACATGAAAGCATGGATCCATTCTGTCTTGTACTAACCGTTCAGGCTGCTGGTGGTGTCATGATGTGGGGGGTATTTTCTTGGTACACTTTGGGCCCCTTAGTACCAACTGAGCATAATTTAAACACCACAGCTTAGAGCATTGTTACTGACCATGTCCATCCCTTTATGACCACAGTTTACCATCTTCTGATAACACGCCATGTCACAAAGCTTAGATCATCTCAAACTAGTTTCTTGAACATGACAATGAGTTCTCTGTACTCAAATGGCCTCCACAGTCACCAGATCTCTATCCCATTGAGCACATTTGGGATGTGGTTGAACATCAAATTCTAATCATGAAAGGCCAAACCAGTGTACCCAATAAAGTGTCTGGTAAATCACAACATTAGCGACATCAACTCTAGGTAGAAAACCATTTGCAGTTGCGTTTGCCAACAGAAAACAAAATGTGAAGCAATTAGAGGTACTCTCTGAACACCAGACATCCCTGGACGTTGTCCTCTGGGCACTTTTAGAAAGACGTTTCTTTATGTCTAAATTTGTTTAAAAAAATGTAAGTTTAGTAAACATCTACAACACAACCAGCTGTTGTAGCTGTTTGTTCTCCTGCTGCAGAACTGTTCAGTTTTTAGTGAAACTCGCACACAGAAATGACCTGATCCTTGTTCCCAGTGGATCTGAATTCTTATTGGTTTGTGCAATACAGCCAACCAATGACAAGTAACCTCATAAGAGTAAGCCATATTTTGGGATGGATGATGTATTCTCAGTATACTGGTTGCAGTATATTGAGTTTAAAGCCTATAATATATCTGGATAGATGACATCTCATTGCCATTATGCACAATATGGACACTTAGTGAATTTTCTCGTGCCAAAAGCCAAACTTTCTGTCTTTGGAAAGGTCCTCTGAAAAAGCTTTTAGGCCAGGGTACATAATCAAACTGCATCAAATGCTATTATCTGCAAAGCCATTATTTTCTGTCATGGGTTCATCAAGCAGGAAATTAACATGAAATGTTGTCAGTGTGAGCCTACTGGTGCATTAGGATGATTAGCAGATCACCAGCTAATCAATAGGCACCGTTTGCAGGAGTGCAGATGTTAACATCAATAAGGTTTTGCATCAGTGCACACAAACACGTGACACTTTTGCTGCTCAAACAGAAAAATCCTTTTGATGGAGCTAAGACTGAGTTTGAAGCTTTTATCTGCCATGTTTTATAAATGGACTTAAACAAATATCAATTTTGATAACTGCTGTATGCAGATTGGACACAAGGTGGCGCCTGAACTCCATCACATACAGTTTTTTGTTCTGCAAGCTGCAGGGGTATTTGTGCATCTGCATCTCTGTCCGTGCAGGTAAAGCATCTAAGACGAGATCATAGATTTAAAATGAGCTTTTTTTTTCTTTGTTTGTTTTAATGCTATTATTGTACTGGATTGCTCTGATGCATGGAGAATCTGAGAAAGTTTTTTTCTCTAAGATTTCAGTGACTTCACTGATTATGAATCTAAAAACATCTATTTTTCAAAGCAAAAAGAGTTTTGCTTAATACTATCCTCTTTTCAGAGGATTATTCATCCCATTCTTCACACGTTAGCAGATGATCAACACCATCAGAACCTGGCCTGCAGTTAACGAGAGGCAAGGTCTGCATATCATTCAGAAGTAAGTGTATATTTCTGCTTCACTTGAATAAAGGGAAATGTCACTAATTCACCTCACACAGAGCGTGATTTGCAGCTGTAAGGCTTTCCGGGTCAGAGGTCACAGGAAGGAAGGGCTTCCACCTCAGGCACGTGTCGACCTTCTGAGTTAAAAGTGAAATATGTTCCTGAAATGTTTTGTCCTCTCTTCCTAAAAACAAAAAGACAGGAGTGGAGGAATCCTCAGTGACTGCGGAGGTAAAGGGCAGGTCGCCTTCACCAACAGTCTGAAATATCACGGCTTGCCCGGGGCTCGTCATCCTCTTTGATGCTCTGAGGGAGTCTGCGACAAGTCTGTGGTAATACTGAGGCAGAGGAGCGAGGGAACAGGATCGATCAAGCGCTGCTGACTGAATCATTGACTGTGGATAAATCCTCTTCTTTAATGTTGTACTGACTCTCCCATCACATTTCCTCTTTAAAAGGGAAAAAAAAACATCCACTTTCCTGCCGGTGCCAGGGATTCATTCTCAGTTAATGAGATTTTAATCAGACATACATAACAGCACCCTCCACACTGACATTTAAAGAAGTCATTAAGGTTTGCCTTTAAAAGGTGTTCGAATGTTCTCTACAGTACGCTCGACCCACACATATCCTGACCAGATATGTATTTTTTAAATTATTTTATTCCATCCAATTAAAATTCGGTAAGATACCCTCACATGTTTCTCAAGCTGAAGTGAAATTAAAGATCAAATTAACAATCTGTCATGCCACCAGTCAGATGATCATATAAATAGGCTAAAATATTCCAGAACCAGCACACATTAGCTTGCCCAATGGATACACTGTGTAGAGACTGCACAGTATCCATTGTACACGCTTATACACTTAACTGTAATGTGCAATTTTACACATGTTTTCTTCCAATTAAAGAGTTGTGCCGCCAGATTTCTTTCGTTTACTCCAACATTTGTTTATCATGTAGAAAACACTGAGATGTGTTGTGGAAATTGCTCTTTTTCCCTCATATTAAGGGTGACCTCAAGGATTAAATGTGTTGTTAAACTTCTTTATACTGACAGAAATGGGACTTTTACTGGTCTGAGTTTGAGAGGATGAAACTCACAAACATCCAAACTCCAAGTTTCTATAAGGTCTATAAGACCAGAATCTAACAGGCATTTCTTTAACTGCTAGATTCATTTATACAATTACTTCAAATTAGTTTCTTCCAGCTCTTCAGTCTTCATGATGTGTTTTGCCTAAAACTCATTGACGCACAGAAGAATTAAAACCCACAAGCTCCAGAGCAGGGCCTTACCTGGCAAAGCCATCTCAGCAAACTGTCAGACATACTTTTGAAGAAGTCTTTGTATTTATTTATTTTGCCTTAATATTTATCAAATCTCTATATTTTTTTCACCGTCAGAGACATTTAGTAAAGAAAATAAAGCCAACCAATGTTCTACCGGTCAAAATATTTAGTCCTGAACCTCTTGAGGAAAGAGTTAAAACTTAAACGTCCAGCAACAGGAAGTGTTACTGGATTGAAACCACAACTCTCCTGGGAGTCTTATAACATTTTGACCTTGCATGCCTCCATGAAAGCCTTGCAGAACTCTAACAAAATATGTCTAAAATGACAGTGAAGCATCCAGTCTCTCAGAGAGAAAGAGCTGTTTCAGTGTTGAATCTCCCAACACATTTGGTCAGCCCACTCAAAATCATTCAGAGCCAGGGACATTCAGCTGAATGACTCACTGTGCCGAGTCCAACGTGAAAGGAGGCATTGTTGCCAGGGAGAAACACATCATGGACACAGTCTGAGGAAGGCAAAAGATTAGGAAACTCTTCATAAAGACACTGCTCAATTTTCACTTGCGTAGGAGGAATCAGAAGTAGCCAGCATCACTAAACTGCAGTGCACATTCCTCTCATTGAGATATTTGGTCATGCCAATCGGTGGCTCTTTGAAACAAAAAAGCCTTGTTTGAGAAGAAGGGATTTTTTTTTCTTTATTGATGTTAATGTTCCTCTTCTCCTTTCGGCTTCAGAATGATTGTGGAGTTGAGATTCTCGGCTGACTGGCAGGTATCCATTGAAACGCAGCTAAAAGAACTTCCCGTCTGCACGCTGCGAGGCACAAAGCCTGCCAATGACCCAGGTAAATGTCAGGACACCTTTTGTTCAATGGGAGAAGGTTCAAGAGTGGCCCCCGAAAGGTCTGAACCATTATTTCCCCCATTAAATGAAGGTTTTTCACTTTCGGACGCCCCTAAAAGTCACCAAGAGCGCCCTGGAGAATCAATCAGCGACTGCAGGTAGTCATTTTAGTGCATCCGCATTTCAAAAACAACCTCAGGTTTAACGACTTCCACTTGCAATCAGCTGTACATCAAAAAAATGTTAAATAACAATATATTAAATTAGTCAGACCTGCCCTCTCATATCAATAATTGAACTTTTCCTTCCTCACAAGTGGTCGATGTGATTAATTTCTCCAGCCATCAGTTAATTATCTCCTTTCTTACCATAATTATTAAAGCCCTGGCGGGTCATTGTGGGGCCCTCTGGTCCCGGTGCACTCTAATTAAAACTCATCAAAAGGGCATTATTTTGAAACTTGTTTGTGCAAACTGGGCGAATAGCTGATAATTCCCACTTAGAAATTTCTCATTACTGACACTGGCGCTCAAGCTCGTGGGACTGAATAGATGCTAACACTGCTATCATATGCATGATGAGGCCGGATTATGGCAAATGTGATTAAAATAAACCCAGAAAAGCCTGTCAAGCACACGCATGATGTCATAACATCTAATATCAAGCTTTAAAAGATGTGAAACATCCACTTTATATCCTCATTTAATAAATTACAGAAAGAAAATATCAGTTTACTTGCTGGAACCTACAGCAAAGACAAACTATTGTTTTGTTTTTAAGTTTTATTTACTAGAGGGAAACTAGTAAAATAAATAGAAATAAAATCAAGTAATTGAAAAAGTAAATGAGATACACTTAATGTAAAGTTTTCTATTTAAAATAGGGAATTTGTGAGTTAATGTGACAAAAAACATCCATAACCTTTCAGCATGTTTAAACTCAAGTGGTCTCGCCAGCTGAGAAACATACTACAAAGAAAAGTTTGTGGGTAAGTGAGGTAAGCTGATCCTAAAGCCTGACTTTAGAGGGTCACAAAAGTGGCCATATTTTTACCTGAAGAACTGACCTGACAAGTTTCCTTTCAAAATCGCCTGAAAGAAAATCCTGTAAATGCACTATTATGTCTGTGTGTAGGCTGTGCAGTGTAACACTGCTCATGAAGCCCTAGTGTAAAGCTATGATACAGTCACACTTGGAAAAACAGTTGCTGGGGGGTTGTAGTTTAGCTTAGCCGGAGAGCAGCGGCCTAGCTTTGAGTGTGACCTGTGGTCCATTGCTGAATGTTTTCCTGCGCACTCTCTTCCCCACTCTCCTGTCTATCTTCACTGTTCAACTATCTAATAAAGGCAAAAATGCCACAAAAAAACAAGCAAACAGCAGCTGGGGAGCACAGCTGTTGCCATCATGTGCAATGATGCGCAACTTGAGATCTTTTTGTCTTTTAAATGATTGCTTCAAAGATGGGGACTCTGCACCTTTTTGTAAGGTTCTGAAAACGCTAGCTCATGATAGGAGACGCTGACCAATCACAGGTCATTTCAGATCACATCAGATGGGCCCAGCTGATCACACACGTTCAATACGAGACTTGCATTAAGAAGCATCCCAGAAGTGTCCACCTGGTCTGTGTCATTTAAGACGGCACTGATTCTATTTTCTGAGAAGACACATGAAGCTGTCTAAACAGCATAAAGAATAAGGCCAATTTTCAAAATAAAAGACCCCACCCAGACTACTGCTTCTAAAATGCTCCCAGTTTTATCTGGAGCCCCGCAGAAGAACAAGAACAAACATTAACGTTAACTCATTGTTCAAAGTTTAATTGTCCTTTCTATGGCAGATGGCCATCCTCCCTGAGCCTGTTTCTGAAGGAGGTTTCCTCCTGTTAAAAGGGAGTTTTTCCTCCCCGCTGTCACCAAATGCTTGCTCAAAGAGAGTTGTGTAATGTTGGGGTTTCTTTTTAATATTTTGGGTCTTTACCTTACCCTAATATACAGCACCTTGAAGTGACTGCTCTCAAAAGGATATTGACTTTAAGTAATTTAATTACATTTTATGTGTAATTATGTTACATATAAACATAAGTAGAATGCAAAATATTTAATTTAATGGAATCTATTCTGACTTGACTGGTATACAGTCAGTTTTCACCAACCATATTTTCCTTAACAATTAATCATTTGAATAAATAAACCCTTGATTTTATATATTTAAGTTGCATTAAACTCAAAATTATTACCTAATATAATAGAATAGAATAGAATAGCCTTTATTGTCATTGTACAGAGTACAACGAAATTGGAGTGCCACTCCCTTGGTGCAAGTTTCAATAATAAATATAAATGTAAAATATAAAAAGTACAAAAAAAACAATCGTAAGTACTCAAACAATAGTATGTACAATATATACAGGATAGCAGCATTAATATAATGACAGTATGAATAGCAGCATAATATAATGACAGTGACGGTATGGAATAGGTTCAATTGTTTTTGTGCTTATTTACTACGGTGATAGCTCTGGGAAAGAAGCTATCCCTGAATCTGTTTGTCCTGGTTTTATGTGACCTGTACCGTCGGCCTGACGGTAATAGTTCAAACAGTTGGTTGCTGGGGTGAGAGTGGTCCTTGATGATATTGCCAACTCTGCTGAGGTACCGAGAGTTTGCAGTGACCTCCAGGCTGGGCAGAGAGCAGCCAGTGATCTTCTGGGCTGTGTTGATGACCCTCTGCAGTACTTTCCTGTCTGCAGCTGAGCACCCTGCATACCATGTTGTTATGCCGTACGTTAGGATGCTCTCTATGGTGGCTCTGTAAAATGTCACCAGCAGCCTCTCCTCCAGGTTGTTCCTCCTGAGCACTCTCAGAAAGTGGGAGACGCTGCTGGGCCTTTTTAACCACCGCTGTAGTATTTGCAGTCCAGGAGAGGTCATCAGATATCTGCACGCCCAGAAACCTCATGGAGTGTACCCTCTCCACACAGCTCCCGTGAATGTAAAGTGGGGCCGGGTCTGCTCTGCCCTTCCTGAAGTCCAAGATAAGTTCTTTAGTTTTCGTGGTGTTCAGTTGGAGGTTGTTAACTGAACACCACTCAGTCAGTCTGTTGACCTCATCTCTGTAGTCCGACTCATCCCCCCTTGAGATGAGTCCAACCACTGTGGTGTCATCCGCGAACTTTATGATGGTGTTTGAGAGATGGGTAGGGGAGCAGTCGGATGTGTAGAGCGTAAACAGGAGGGGACTCAAAACACATCCTTGTGGAGACCCGGTGCTGAGTGTGATGGTGCTGGACCGGTGGGGGCCGAGTCTGACAGACTGTGGTCTATTTGTCAGGAAGTCCTTGATCCAGAGGCAGATGGGGGTGGAGAGTCCCAGGTGAGACAGTTTCTGGACCAGGATCTCCGGGATGATATGATTGAATGCTGAGCTGAAGTCCAGAAAGAGCATTCTCACATAGCTTCCTCGGTGCTCCAGGTGACTCAGCGCAGTGTGGAGCGCTATGGTGATGGCGTCCTCGGTGGAACGATTTGTCCTGTAGGCAAATTGGTGGGGGTCCAGAGTGGGAGGCAGACCGGCCCTGATGTGCTGACAGACCAGTCTCTCAAAGCACTTCATCACTACAGGCGTAAGTGCAACAGGCCTGTAGTCATTTGGGCTGGCCACAGCTGTCTTCTTGGCGATGGGGATGATGGTGGAGGTTTTGAGGCAGGGCGGGACGGTGTTTGATGACAAGGAAAGGTTGAAGATTTTAGTGAAGACTCCGGTCAGTTCATCAGCACATGC